TTATGAATTATGATTATACTTTCTATTTTTATACGTAGTACTTGGTAGAATATAATTTAACAAAATTTTCAGACATTGCTTAAAATTTTATATGCTTTAAAATATTATACGTGTTAAAATTTAAATAATATTTGTGTTAAAACTTTAAATTACTTTATCCTTAATTTAATTGATTTATTAATGTTTTACTTTTAATAAACTTTATTAATATTTTTATAGTTTATTTTAAATTTACAGAATAATAAAAACGTCAAATATTTCAAGCATACGCAAAAATCAAAATGTGAACCGAAACCAATCTGAAAATCTTCTTATCATATCAACCGATGATATTGTAATCATTAAAATTACTGGCCTGTACTCGTATTAATTTATTTTTTCTACTATATTTGATAAGTGCAGGTTCTAGTGCTATGAGTTCAAGGTTTGACAAAGTGTTCCTTCAACACATTGGAACAAATGACGACGACGAATGTACACCTTATCCAGGTTGTACTCAATCATTGTGTACGGATAAATGTGGTAATCGCATTGCTGATTGTCGTAGGGGCCCTCCCAACGAACAATGTTGTTGTAATCTGTAGTTAATTTGTGGTTAAATTGTTAAATTAATAAACACAACGAGCCAAGGAAGTAGTGCAAGTGCAATGAACTCGATTGACAAATTTTAATTATGAACATTTTTACAATCTATACCAAATTTAATGTTTTATTTGCAAGTGCAAGGGAAATTGCCTCTACAAATTTATTAATGGATGTTTTTACATTATCATATAAATTATTATGTCGTTATATACTACTCGTATTAATGATTGCTACATGCATTCAAGAATTGAATTTCCAAGTGTTAAATCAATGTCTCTAATTCTATCCATTCTCCTGAATGTAGGGTTAAGGCTAGTGAGGGTACATTAAGCCTTTTTTAAGGAGCATAAAAAAACAACATAATTACATATGAGTAGTAATGATATTATTTCTATCAATTATAAGAGTAATGCTAATTAAGAATAAGCATTTAATATCTTTATTAATTTGGTATTAATGTAGGAATGCATGACAACATCACGTACAAATCGTTGTAATTAATGTTATATTTACATTTGTTTTTTTCCATTTTTAGCTCCTTATATGTAGTCCTAAGTATAGCATTTTCTAATTATAACCCCTTTGTCCAATTATAATTCAACTTTTTCATTTTGACACCTCAAAAAATAAAAACTTTTGTGTACACGCGATTTACATTAATATTAGTGTATATTAAACAGTATTAAGGTAACTTTTAGCCAATTTAGAGTAACTTTTACCCTTTTTTGAGTAACTTTAAACTTGATACGGAGTATGATTTTTATGTATATTATATATCATATATTGCATACATATTGCACATATATAATATGGGTAATTATAAAGTTGACACATACAATTTTTCCGAAATTTCGTATTATTTCCATATTAAATAATTGGGAAATTCTACATAGTGGCCTCCAGGTTTCAATTTTTCTACGTGAAAGACAAACTTTTTTCCAACTCTCTCAACTGGCACTCTAATTTTGCAAAATTAAGTGTAGTGTCCTTTTTTAGTTTTATGGCTAACTTTTGTAATTAAAATGGCACTCCGTATTAATTATTAATTATTCAAGGATCATCCCGCTCATGGTCGATTAAGATCCGTAATACAGGGTATTATTTAAAGTATGGTATGATTTTATTAAGTTTGTATAAATTAATTGATTGATATGAATAGATTTCCCTTTATAACTAACTTTGTTTGTTTTGGTCTGAATCTTCAATGTGATTATATTTGACTTGCTCTGATAAGATTTCAACAAAAATGAGAAATAAATAATGAGAATAAGGTGAAAAAAAAAACACAAATTAAAGTCTTATATGTGGCTGGTCACACGGTGTGATCATCCATCATGAGGATTACTTCATTAGTGTTATAGGGGTTACTTGGTCAGTATTATAGGGTTACCGGGTCAGTGTTATAGGGATTACTTGGTCTTTTATAAGTGGTCACATGGTGTAGCCAGTCGCACACAAGACGCACTGAAAAAAAATTCTAAGGCTATGCTTTTTTTTTTTTTTTTTTTTTTTAAGAAACAAATTAAATTAGGGACAAAAATGTCCATCAAAACATTACATATGGATAGACCTCATCCGAATAATGATATTCTCCCAAATTTTGTTCATCTCCAAAAGACACTACCCTATAACTAAATGATTGGCGACAAGGTTGCCACTTCTTTTAACATGTGACCAAGCTACCAAAATGAAATTAGAACATATAAACAAAAAAGAATCCATGTATGTGAATTTTAATTGAATGTCATTTTAATGATCTATTTAGATTATTCACGTATATCTAAGATTATCTGACTTCACTAAACTTGAACTTTATATTATACGTTAATTTATAAGGAAAAAATTTATCAAATGAGACATTATTAGAACTTCATTAATGTGTATTTTTCAAATATGTATTTAATTATTTTTTTCCATAAACAAATTTTAAATATTTAGCGAGTGAGATCATGATTGATATGATAAATTTTAGTCGATCACAACTTATTTTAGAAAATTCTTTTTGGTAACACTCAAATTTCTTTTTTTCTATTTGGTAAATTGCAAAAATTTCAATTCCCTTTGGTAATCTTGTATTATTGATTAAATGATTACCATTGATAAGTGAATAAAAATCCTTAAGTATAGTTAGTTTTTATATTTCTTTAATAAATAAATTATATATAAAAAAAATTATTTAAAAAAAAAAAAAACCAAACCCGAGCAACCCCTCCCTCTGCCGGCGGCCAGGGGCTCCAACTTTGCCCGGCGGCGCTCGGCCTTCCCTACCCCCGACGTCCAACCTCCCCTGTTCGCCGGTTGAAAATCCTAAATCCCACTCTGAAACACCAAAAAAAACCCAAACCCGTTAGGGTTTTGAAACCAAACCAGGAAACAATTTGGGTTTTCCGGTGGTTTGGGTGGGATTTAGGGTTTCTGGCCTCGGCACATAGGGGAGGGGGGCCAGTTTTCGGGGTTGTTTGGGGTGGTCCGGCAGTGGGGCGTTGGGTGGAGGAAATGGGAGGGTGTGGGGGTCGGGGTGGGGGGAAAGAGAGAAGGTGTGGCAAGGGAAAGGTCGGGCGTCGCCGGTCAGGGTGGGAGAGGTCGGGCATCGCCGGTTGTCGTCGGCCGTTGGTCAGGCGCCTGGCCGCCGGCAGAGGATGGGCTGCTGGTGACTAGGTGAGGTGGGGGATGGGTTTGGATTTAAAAAAAAAAAATTATTTTTAAAAATAATTTTATGTGATTTTATTATTAAAAAATAATTAAACTAACCAAACAGCTTTAACTATACTTAAAATTTTAATAAAAAATAATCATTAATGTTATAAGCAATAAAAATTAAATACTACCTCCGTTAACAGTTATTTACAACATAGGAGGTCTGCGCAGACTCCTAGACAAAAGTTTTAAAGCATGATTAATGAAAATTAAGAACATGTGGTTAAGTATTAATCCTACCAAATATATATATAAGTACAAAATATATATTTATTTTTTAAGTTATAAGAATTTCCCTATTTTATTTTTTAATCTAATATGAAATACAAAGTACAAAATAAGTAATAAGGTATTCTTGTCAAAAAAAAAAAGAAAAAATAAGTAATAAGGTATAGAAATTGGGTGAAATATCTATCTATTAAGTTATACTAAAAGCGAATAATCAATGACACTTGTCATTACCTTGTGAAAATTTTTTCCGCCTTTTTTGTTTTTCTCTTTACTCTCCTTTATTTTATTTTATTTTAATTTTTTTCTTGCAAAATCTTTAAGTAAATTATTTATACTTTTTTTTTTTGACAATCATATTTCATATATACCCAAATAAAATATTTTTTATATACTTTATATTTTGTAATATTATTGTAAAAAATATTTAACAACCGTGCATTGCACGGGATTTTAATTTAACCTAGTGGAGTATACAACTTAAGTTTCAATAAGGTATGATTGTCTGACCATGAACCAATCCCCTCCCCTTATGCCAATAGAAGCCTAGTTGCCTTACTGTATAAAAAAGGGCTTTTTTTTCATTTTATTTTTTTTTCAATTATGAGTAATGAATTGAATCAATAATTTAATAGAGCCCCATAAAAAAACATTAAAAAAACTTTATCAGAGTAATACACTAGGGTTAAGTATTGGCGCATAGCTGCTATTTACATGGCAAGTAAATAGCAGCTATAAGAGAAAAGAGTGATGAATTTTTTTTTTTCCTAGTGGTACAAATATTGTACCACTATTACCTATAATGGTTATAAATAGTACTATTAAAAAAAACTTATACTTTAATAGTATAAAATACATGTATAATAGTACATCAAAAATACCACTGTAAGTATAGTAGTACATTAGAATACCACTATAGCAATAAAAATCACAAAAATTAAGTAAATTTACCAATTAGCCCTCCCATATGCATTATAAACAAATAGCAGCTATGCGCCTAGTTGCACTCTTTGGAAATTATTGATTGTTATATTGTTTTTTTTTTTTTTTTAAACAAATATTGTTTGTTATTAATTTTTTTTTTAAAACAAATATTGTTTGTTATTTTTTATTTTTACAAGAAATATTGTTTGTTATTAATCCTTAATTTAGTTAATTAGTTTAATAATCCCTCCTTAAACATTCACGATTTGAAACAAAAGCGGGAAAAAGACATAAAAAAGGAGAAATCCCCCCAAAAAAACCTCTCATGCTTTCTGCCAAACAGCCACGTGATCACATATAATCATTAATAAACAAATTCACTAAACAACCATGATTAAAAAAATTTACCCCACTCATAAAAATGACGAACATACCCTCCTCAAAACCCCACTCCTAATATACCAAAAATTTGTTCGTAGGGGTACATATGTCATTCTGAACAAAAACCCATGAATTGAGCGCCTTAGCCGCAACAACGTAAATTCAAATTCCCGCTTATTTTGAAGTTTCAAAATCACCACCCTAAATAAATTTAACCCAAAATCACTGTTTTTCTAATCACCTCCTTTTTTTCTTCTTTCTTGTTTCTTCCCCAAATTTCCTACTTTCCTCTTCGCCCCCGCCAATCCCTAATTTCAACGGTCCTTTGAATCTTCACTTTATTTCTCATCTCTTTTTCTGGGTTGCTCTATTTTTTCTTCAATTTTTCTGGGTTGCTCTTTGATTTTTCTGGGTTTGTTTTGTTTTGTTTCGGTGAAGTGAGGAGAGAGAAAGTTTCGAAGTGTCTTGAATGGCGACCTCACCACCTTCATCTGCTCCAGAAGGTTCTGGATCTAGGCACCATACTTACAGTAGGAAGCAGAAATCTTTGGGACTTTTGTGTTCCAAGTAATTTCTCTCTTCAATATTTTTTTTTTCAATTTGTTTCCTGGGTTTTTTTTTTAATTATTTTTTTCAAAATAGGATTTTAAATTTGAATCGATTTTCTTCTTTGTAATTTTGGGTGTGCTTAATTCGCAGTTTTTTGAGCTTGTACAATCGAGATGGGGTTGAATCTATTGGATTGGATGATGCTGCCAATAAATTAGGTATACTAGATCTGAATTATTTTTTATTTTTTATTATTTTTTTTTTGTGAATTTTTTTTTTCCCGATGATTAATTGATTTGTAATTTTTGTTGGGATTTTGCAGGAGTTGAGAGACGGCGGATCTATGATATTGTCAATGTTTTGGAAAGTGTTGGGGTAATATTGATTTCCTCTACTTCGTACTATTTATTTATTTTAATTTGTTTTTGTTATAAATTTTATTTAATTAGTTTGCTTATTTATGTGGCATAAAAATTAGAGTTTTTGCATATTATTCGATCCTTTTGGTCTTTATAACGATTTTCATTAGTAAACCTCGGCCAAATTGACTCCAAGACCAAGAACAACCGTATACGAGTTTTTATTTTTTATTTTTTGTCTATATAGACAAAATTTAGGGTATACTAACTTCGCGAAACCCCTAAAATCAATTAAGCTAGTTGGCATCCAATTGCAGATTGGTATGTGGTATAGATTTTGTTCTTAAACAATGTATTTTTGATTAATTGGTAATGGTAATTCAGTAATAATTATAATTAAAAAGATGAATTCTTTTCGTTCTTTGATAAGAAGTTGAGAATTGCTCATCTTGAGTTTGTGTTTACCTTGTAATAAAGGTTGGAGTGTAATTGGGTGTAGGTGTTAGCAAGGAAGGCAAAAAATCAGTATACATGGAAGGGCTTTAAAGGAATTCCCAAAGCTCTTGCCGCGCTTAAGGTAACAAAAACCCAACATTTAATTCAAATTATGATCTTTTAACACTTAAAAAAGGCGCATAATGTTTGAAGCTTAATGAATCTCTTTCTCTTATATTTGTAATCATTAGGAAGAAGGTTTGAGGGACAATTTTGGCTCTAGTGGTAGTGGCAAAATGAAGGTGAGTTTGAGTTATTTTGGGACTTGATCTTTATTATGTGAGTCCACTGGTGTTAACAAATGACTAATTATCGTAATTTGTCTTATAGTTTCATGTTTTTGACGATGACGAGGATACTAATTCTAATCCTGATACTATAAGTCAGCCAGAAGCACCAAGCAACAATGCTAATTCAAAGCCTGGTAACTTCTTTGCTTTATGCTGTAATCTTAGTATCTTACAATTAATGGTTCATATGTTGTTCTTTATGCTTCTTATTAAGGTATTATGGGATTATCATGATATTTTGTGAATAGAGATCAATGTTTCATAGTTAAGTAGTGAGTATGAATATCATTTGTTTGATAATTTCGCAGACAATAGAAGGGAGAAGTCATTGGGGCTTTTGACACAGAACTTTGTCAAGCTGTTCATATGCTCTAATGTATGAATAACTGCAGGACTCCTATTCTTTTACCTTGTTATTTTTCCTCTTTACCCCTAAACTTATTTATGATGGATTTAATTTTTAGGTTGATCTTATCTCGTTGGATGAAGCTGCAAAGATCTTGCTTGGTGATGGTCACAACAGTACAGTAATGCGAAGTAGGGTTTTCTATTCCACTTTCTTTAGTTTTGTGGTTACTCATAACACATTATCAGTATCTAACTCTTCCTTCATAAGATAATGCAGCCAAAGTCAGACGGTTGTATGACATTGCCAACGTGTTGTCCTCCATGCAACTTATTGAAAAGGTAAGAACACTAATACTACATTGGCAGATATAGTCTTTAAGACTCGTATCACGATCTTATTAGGTGTTTGCATAATCATCTCTACTGTGCAATTAGATGTATCGTTGCTACCTGGAAAAGGAATTATCTTGATATTGAGAAAATCCTGTTGTGAGTTTGTTATAGTTGAAAATCAGTGAAATGCTGGACATTAGACCTACATTGTCTGTATCTTATTCATGGTAATTTGAGTCAGGTTTTGGACCTTTTGGTTAAACATCATTAGAGAGTTTATCATTTATGGGTTTATTAAGCAAATTTTATATTCTGAAGTATTTTTGTTCAAAACAGAAATAAAAATATTCTGAAGTATTTTGTTGAATGATAACCAGACTCATCAAACAGAGACCCGAAAGCCAGCCTTCAGGTGGTTGGGCTTAAATGAAAGGAGGGAAAATACTATATGTGGTGTGCCTATGTCGACTGAGACTAAAAAAAGGGCATTTGGAACTGACGTTACAAACATTAGTTTCAAAAGGAGCAAGGTTGATTTTTCAGCTAATGAGGAAGGAAAGCAGCTAAAGCTGCAGGTGAAAACAGAAAAGGTTGAAAGTGAGTTTCACACAAACCCTGCTGAGCAGAATGCAAGACCAAGAAGCTACCAATATGGTCCATTTGCTCCGGTTACCGTGGCTAAAGCAGGTGTTGCTGATCAGAAAGACACTAAGCGTGTCCACGACTTGGAAAGTCTTGCCTCTGTTTATCGCCCTCAGTATCACAATCAAGGTACAATGTAAACTATTTTTTTGCTTCTGTTAGTACATTTGTGTTTTTTTTTTTTTCATGCCGCTCAGAAGTATATTGGCTATATATTTGTAGCTTTGAGAGATCTGTTTGACCATTATACGGAAGCATGGAGATCTTGGTACTCAGAAGTAGCTGGGAAGTCACTCGAGCAGGTTTCCTGATACATTTAACCAACACCAAACAACGGCCATTCTTAGAGCTTGAATTACAACAGTGGGAGTTTGCTTGTTATCCACACATTCGGAAGTCCAACACAATATAACAGATGGCTCAGACGCATTTTCTCAATGCACCAAATCAACATGCCTAATTTAGGGAGAGCATGCACATCCTTTGTTTCTTCACGGGACAAACAAAGGGTGAAGCTAAAAGTTCTAAGGATTGGGAAGAAACTCAACATTGTAAATGGATTTGTTGCAAATTCCCATGAGGTTATTTGAGTGGATTAATGATATGCACCTTCATGAGCCATCCAATGCGTCTTTGCTAACTAGGAATTGCTCTTTCAGCATCAAAGAATAGCGCTATTTGCAGTATGCTGGAAAATGTCGTAGAGTGTGGAGAATTTTTCTTAGTACAATTGTGTAGAACTATATAACTCATTGCAAAGAAATTTGACAAGATAGTTGCAATGGATTTGTGCTGTCTTTATGCCGAAACTTATTCACTGTGACCATTCAACATTTACTTAGCTGAAAATCTGAAATAACGAACTACTATAACATGTGATTTAAATTTTAAATAATAATGAGTAAATTAAAATATGAATCTTGATCACTTGAATTAATCTAATGTGTTAAAGTTCTCGATTTACCCCAACTTGAATAAATTTTGAAAATTTAGGTTTGATCATATGAAATCAAGGGTCAGCTTCCAAGCTTAAAAATTTTGATTGTTATATAGCAGTAACTAGTTATCCAGGTTCAGACATACCTACCATTCAAGGAATGAAAGCGTTCCAAATACGTAGTATAACAGTTTTGGTGGCTCAATGTCTCGAATACAGCTGGAAGGGCAAGAAATCATAGGGAGATTACCTTGGTTCATACTCTGAAACTACCAATAAATGATAGTATGATACTAATACCTTTTCTGTTCTCAATTAATTGCTACATACCTCCTCTGTTATTTTTAATTTGACATGTTTCTTTTATTATTGACATATTAATCATTGTATTCTGCTGAAATGACCCCTACTATGACATTGTAAAGCTATACACAAATATTAGAGGAAACAAAGGTAAACTTTTATTGAGTCAAAATTATTCTATTTGGAAAAACATATACAATTACGCATTAACAGTACAAAATGATGAAGATTGTCAGTATAAGATCTATGAAATTGATACATTGGGAAGAAACAGTATTAATAAGTTGACAAAAAAAAACGTGTTCATGGAGGTATCGACATCTTGGCTACAGTATGATTTCCTCCTGGACACTAACATTAAGAGTCTTGTTTGGAAGCACAATGCTCTTGATCACCACCACTTCATCTTCTACATTTACAGATTCCCCTGCATCAAAAAAAAAGCACCAAGCAATCAGGGCAAGGAAATATATACCGGAAGAGACATGAAACAACACATTCTACACGAGCAAGTACAAGTACCTAGAATTGTGATTCCAAGTTTCGCATTGTATTCTCCTTCCGCCTGTTAAGAATCATCAAATAACATCAGAAATCTTAAAAGCCCTACAAAAGTACAAACAGGAGAGATATAGCATACAACTCAAAACTAAAGGGTTTATAACCTCATAGACTCATAGTTGTTGAGCATTGGATGACTGCTCATTAAACATATACCCGAGCTAAAATTATAGATAAATTTTTATTTTGTTTCTTAGTGTAAAAACCGTAACAAAGCAAAAACTCATTCAGTTTACAAGCTTACAACATTCTTAATTCTAAGTTTTTGTAACATTCTAACAAGTATTGTGTAAGATCTTAACCATTAACTGCATGTCAAAATATATAATATGTGAAAATACAATAGTTAACAGAAATTTGAGCCTGCGCACAAGCCTTTCAAGTTGAGCCGTACGTCGTCATCAGCTCAACTTGTAAATACTTAGACCATGCTTGAGTAGCTCGCAAGCTCGCTAAGGTACTCATCACCCCTAGTTGAGCGCATAGCAATTTAGCAAGTTTCGTTGATATGAATTTAATTTCAGTAAGAGGATATATATATATATATATATATATATATATATATATATATATATATATATATATATATATATATATATTTTGACAAAAGTAAGAGGATTTATATGGAATGGTTTTTGCATATATCAAGCTGATATTCAAAAGCAAACATTGGTATATTCTAAGCAATGTAACATTTGAAGCAACATAATATAAATGCTTACCTGGACCCGAGACCATTTTCCAATTGTTGATTTCCACCCAACAATTGAATGGATAACAACTGCATTGTCCTGGAATATCAATCACAATTATTTACAGGTCAAAAACTTTTTCACAGAATTATATGCACATTTCAAATCTTTCAATATTTTAACATCACCTTGATTTCAACATCATCTAGAACAATACAGTTGATAAGCCTCGCACCAGCTCCTACACGAGCATTTGCAGAGATTGAAACATTTGGACCAATCTGTTGTCATTCAGGAGAATTTGTGTATAGAATTCAGAAAGTAGCACCATAGCAAGTTCTTGTATCAGATTACTCATCAAAACAAGGAGCATTAATTATACCTTTGCTGTGGGATATATTTTAGCTGAGGGATGAATGTATACATCGCCAATTATGGTTGCACTCTTTGTGCCATCACCACTTGACAAAAGATGTGGGGAGGTCACTCGAAATTGGTGCAGATAGAGACCAGAACATTTCAGAGACATTCTGCAATAATTGATAATTGATGATGGCGGGAAGAAATAATACTCAACAAGTTTCCACCAAAAAAAAAAAAAATATACTCAACAAGTTGATATTTATATGAATCCATCTTACCCAGGGGTCTTGATTTGCTCCCAGAAGTCCATGGTCTCATATGTATACAATTTTTTCTTTCCAGCTAGCGGTGTTAAAATATCTTGGTCCAGCCTCACAAAATCTGAGGGCAGACTCCTGTGAAAGAAACGGGAAGGTCTAGTTAGTCCAGCAATTTTGTTAAAATTGACAATCAATTAAATGCGAAATCAACGTCCAAGTACCCTAATAGCTACATAGGCTTATATAAGAATACATACACCTACCAAAAAATTACCGTCTTATCTAACACAACTAAGGTAAACATCGGCATTATTCCAATGCCTATAAACAGGAGCCGGCCTAGGGTGGGGTGGGAGTATCCTTAGCCCTTCACCATCATGGTAATAAAGAAACTTTTAAGTGATTGTTCCTTGATCTGACAAGCGCTGAACATACGCTACTTCACAATAATAAGATGCAAGGATAGTTAAATGCACCATGGGTCCATGGCTATAAGAGTATTAGTCCTAATTCCTTTAAAAAAAAAAAAAAAAAAGGACCATATGCTACTTCACAAGAATAAGAAAATAAGAAGCATGGGTATTTAATGCACCATTTAAATTTGATCCTAAGTCCATTAAAATCCAAAACTCACAATACAATGTATCCCTGATTCTATTGAAAATGACAATCAGACAAATAAGAATTCAACTCTATAATACTTCTCTAAAAATACCATGTGGATTTCATTCATATCCTCTATCACATTTACGTAAAGAGTGGAACATATATGCAAATCTAACCTTATACTACTATTTCAGGAAAAGGGGAATTATTTCCGATATAATATGACATTTTTCCTTCTTTATAAAGAAGATAATAGAAACTATGTTCTCCACATGAGCTTACAAAACTTAACCCTCAATCAGCAAACTTATGCTATAACCAGAAAACAATTTGACCTTTAAAACGAGACTTTAGATTTCAGCTGAATTGACCCATTCTCCAAATAGTGATATTCAAGGTTTTACGGATGATAGATTAAGAAAATTTGGAGTTACAAATCTTGAAAGATAACTTTCAATTTCTGATTAAGTTTGAAATTAATATAGGTCAATAGAAAACTAGCATATACTATGGTCAATAAGATTATCAAATTGCTTCATATATACCCTATCTTTTTTCTAATCTTTGGCACCCAGCTCCTTTAGCCTACAATCAATCAATCAAAGCCTTAATCCCATAAGTGGGGTTGGCTCCATGAACCAAAAGTAATTATTCCGTACAGTCATCCACAAAAATCTTCCTCCTCCATCCCTTACGATCAAATACCTCATTCTCATGCAAATCCATATGCTTCATATCCTTCCTAACTCTTTCCAACCAAGTCATTTTTGGTCTCCCACTCCCTCGTTTAACCTACAAGTGTAACAAATGTATACTTGCTGGAACAGGTAACAGAAGCAGAGTTATACTTCCTTAATTGTACGAAGATGTAGGGCTTCGATACAAACTAAAGCAGACAACATCAATAAAGTATAACACAATTGTTCAGTTGCCTGTAGCACAACAGAGGACCAACGTCAAGCCATGGACATTTACTTAAAGCTACATGGAGCTCTGGACTTTAGTCCCCATTCCAATTCCAAGTATCTTAAGGATAGCATTTTAAGAAGCCCCAAGTAGGCAGTGACTGAATTTGTCAAAGACCCATGTCTGTGTATTGCCATCAGTTTAAGAAAGCAAATGTGGTATTATAAAGAACACAAAGCAATGATCGTGGTGGAGGGTGACAGAGGACGTGCTCTGATAGCTGCTACATGTAATTATAAGCTAAAACAAGTTATAGAAATGGAGAAGAACATTACTTTGTTGCAGATTGAAGTGCTTCAAAGCTGGATACACGTCTCATATTGGCTGCAGGGAAAAGATCAGAATCAGATGTTAGTAGTTTCAATTAATATCAGACTACTGACAAGATTATTCAATGACATAACTAGCCATCACTCCCATAAAGAAAAGTAACACGTATCGGTTTATTAGACGTACGCTACAAGTTTTCCAGCCCTATAAAACTTGAATGCCTTGTGAATTGGGTTAGGAAAGAAGACAACAGGCACTAAGATGAAAATTAAATATCATATATCCTTTCTTCAACATTCGCATATTTCTAGACATTGCCTTTACTTATGTCACATTAGTCACCATGTAAAAATATTTCTCTTACAAAATTCTACTAGTGCTAATTGACAAAACAAGAATTCAAAGACACAGAAAAGTTTCACCACAAGAAATTTAATGAAGATCTGGATGTACAAGTAAAATTATTTGCAGCTTTTTATTAATGATTACTTGTTCTAAACTTGATGGAATGACTGAATGACATACTAGACAGTTTTTTTTACTGTGATTAAAACTCATTTAAAAAGAGCACTTTAGAAATTATAACACTATAGCTTCCCACATCCAAAGAATCTTCCACAGTCTCCATCCATCATCCATATTGGCAGATTTATACTTGAAATGAGAGCAAGGGCATCCTATTGAGAAGGCTGTAAGCAAATCATGCCTTTTGAGAACTTTTTTGTGCTTCATGAGATAATAACTACAACATCTTGAAAGAAACCTTATGGGTTGTTGAAGTGCACACTGGTCAGTTTTTATGATCATTTGATAATCAGACCAAGGTTT